AGAAAAAGATTTCATCTGCCCAGTCTTGCATTGTCTGAAAAGGGAGTAACAATATCAATTAATATATCTCTCATAACCTGAAAAATACATGCTCTCATCTCTAGGCTAGCCACTAATAAAATAGTGAACGAGCATATGACTTCCAAGCTAATAGAGTGTAAATGAGAAAATAAAAATATTTCAAAAGAGGACATATACAGAGAGGATATAGAAACTTAGAGTATCAGAAAAAAATAGAAAGCACTTAATAAAATGATATGTTTAAACCTAAATATATCATCAATTATATAAAATATTAATATACTATGTGCTCCACATAAAAGAAAATAAATTTGTCTAAAAAACAAATTCCATCTAAAGTCTGTGCGATTTATCTAGAATACAATAAATACTATAGCAAATATAAAAAAGTTGACAGTAAAAATGAAGATGGATATATCATGTAAATATTGGCCCAAAAGAGGAAAAAGTACTCATTTACCTATATTACTAGAAGACACAATAAACTTTAAGGCAGGAGAAGTTCAAGTGTCATAAAAATAATAGGTTCAATTTTCCAAGAATTCAAACTAGAGCGCACCTAACAGCATAGCCTTAAAATATGTATTAAAAAAAGTGAAAAAAACTAAAAACAGAAAAAGACAAATCCACAATCCTAGTGAGAGACTTTAAAATACAACTCTCATTAACCAAACCCCAAACCCAAACAACAATTAGCAAACTAATAATTGCTAATGATGCGAAAGTTTTCATAAGAAGATCCACAAAATTGTTCTCATGGAAATATGTAGATCATTACACTCAATAAGTTTAGAAGATGTATTTTGAAAGCACACATGAAACATTTCTAAATATTGACTCAGAATGAGCCACGAGGATGATTATCCCAAATCTAAAAGGACTCAAGTTATGCAGAAAATATTCCTAAGTGCAATGGAATTATTCTGGAAATTAATAACAAAAAGATAACAGCTTAAAAATAATACTGTATAACTAACCCATAGGTCAGAAAAGAAATAACATATAAATTAGAAATCTTTTCAATTAAAAAAAAAAATTTAAACATATTACATACTGAACATGCAATGAAAGCTTTTGCCTAATGTGATATTTATAACCTTGAACTCAAGAAAGCAAGAATGAAGCTGAAATTCCATGAGTTAGCTATCCATCTCAAAATTTAGAAAACAAAAAAATTGGTGAATTAAGCCTGGGGTGAGGGGGAAGAATGGGAATAACATGCAAACAAAATGTATAGAATTAGATAAAAATGGAGAGGATCAACAAAGCCAAAGTGTGTTATCTGGATATACTAAACAGAAAAAAACCTATAGTCACACTGACTAAAATGAAAGAGAGAGAGAGAGAAAATGAAAGTGCAAAAATGATTAACGTCAGAGAGGAAAAGAGGATTTTAAATGAACTTTTATCTAATAATTTCTAAAATTTAAATGAAGTGAAGAAATTCCTTAAAGTAATAAAACTGACACAAGAAGAAGTAGAAAAAAACAAATCCATAAATAAGAGGCACTTCATAAAAAAGGAAAGGAAAGGGAAGAGAAGGAAAAGAAGGGAAGAAAGAGAAGAAAGAAGGAAGAAAGAGAGGAAAGAAGAAGAAAGGAAAAAAGGAAGGCCGGCCAAGGTCCAGATGCCTTAGCTATTGAATTCCATCAAAATTTGGGGGAAGAATTTAGGCCACATCTACTTATACTCTTTCATAGAGGAGTAAAAGAGGAGCTTATTCTTCAACTCTTTTCTTGAGGCAGCATAACCTTATTCCCAAATCTGATTACAAGAAAGTAAAATTACAGTACCTAAGTACAAACATTTTAGAAAACTTAATACAGCAAAATAGAAACAGAATAATGCATGATAACTAATTTAGGTTAATTTAAATATTAAAGGTAGCTTTAATACTTAAAACAATCATTTTATTCACAACTTTAATCAAATAAAAGAGAAAACTCATATGGACATCTCATTACATGCAGAAAAACATCCGAAAATCACTTATATATATCAATAGTAAAAGGGGTGAATACATTGTGCTATATTAATACAATGGAATACTATTCAGCAATAAAAATGAACAAACTGGAGCTATATACACACAAGGAATAAGTCACACAAAGATAATGCTAATCAAAAAAGCCACACCCAAAAGAATAAATGCTATTTGATTCAATTTATATAAAGGTAAAAAAAACAAACAAACAAAAAAAACAAACCCATAGTGTTTAGGATACTTGCTTAGGTGGTGAAACTGTGAAGACAAGAAGGTGCTGTATAAGTATCAAGATAATGACTACTTTTGGAAAGAGTTACAGGAGGTAGTAATCGGGAAAGGCAGCTTCTAAGAAGTGAATCATGTTCTATTTCTTAACAAGGGTGGTAATTTTTAGGTATTTTGGGGGAGATAATCCTTGATAATCTTTGTTTTGTATAATTTTCTGCACAATTTTCTTCTATATTTTGTTTTACAGCTTCTAAGAAGTGAATCATGTTCTATTTCTTAACAAGGGTGGTAATTTTTAGGTATTTTTGGGGAGATAATCCTTGATAATCTTTGTTTTGTATAATTTTCTGCACAATTTTCTTCTATATTTTGTTTTAAAAAAGTCTTTGCCAATTAAGTTCCCCTCACAAAAAAGAGAATGTAGATTATTGCTTCAGATGTCCATATTACGACTGTGAAAAACTGGCTTTTAAAGAGTCAGTATTCTAGTTACTCGCGTAAACAAATGCACAACAGCAGTTTTTGACTATCCTGCATCATTTGCTTCTACCTCGAGCAAGGGCTAAATAACGTTAGAGAAATAAAAAAGTAAAACCCATATCCCATATGAAGCCAAATTCATACTTAGGATCATGTTGTTATTCTGGACATTTTATGGTTTAGAGAATAATGACCTTAGCCCCTAAAACCATACCAGAAATCTTGCTCATGCTACACCTTGCTTGAAACATGGAGCAGATAAAACCATACAAGGTAATCTGTCATTAAATTAGTATAAGTAATACTTGAGTTTATTAATTTAGTTTTTAAAACCACAAAAACAAATCACACAGAATACACACTTCTAATCTCTTTTGATGTGCAAATACTTTATCAAGCACTCCATTAATTAGTTGGTTGTCACTTTACGTCTATCAAAATTAATACGCTTCTCAAGGGCAGAACCTGTGCACTATTTTTCTTTTCTTATGTCTAAAACACCATCAATAGATATTTGTTAACTTTATGCACACTTGATTTTGAACAAACTAAATCTGAGGCAAAAAATTCAGGCAAGAAAGAACACTTAGGCAATGATGACAGAAGTCAGGAAAGTCACAGTTGATAACGGGGTAGTCTAGAAGGAAGGTGGGACCGTCCTAGGAAAACTCCGAGAAGCAAAAACATGGTAGAGCTGGAGAGAAGCTAACCCAATAGGCTCAGCAGGTGAAGAGGACCAGCACAGAGTTCCCCCAGAACTCAAACACTTCAGCAACATTCAAGGGGTGATTGCTTTTGCAAAGTTAGCTTTAAAAGTGGGTGGGGAAGTTGAAAGAAGGAAAGAACGGAAAACAGATAGGAAAAGAATGTGAAAAAAGAAAACAGGAGAATCTAGGATCAGAAACGGAGACATTAAATTATTTTGGCTAAAACTAAACATAAATCAACTCATTCCACACACATGATTTTAATGTTTCATGTTTGTAAACATCTTCATTTAGTGAAATTGTCTTGGGGGGAAGGTAGCACATGGCGCTTGTGTGATCAAATCAACCAAATTGACCCTCTCTCTTTCACTTTTCTACCGACTCTTTTAGAACTTTGAAGACGCAGATCTGACAAAATTTATCAGCCAATAGACCTTCTTTCTTCCTAGTTAATAGAAAAATGGTTTTAAATGGTTCCCTGGCAGAGATAGATAAAATTTTTAAAAATAGAGTGGGGGGCCACATAGCAGCTCAGGTCAAGCCGCTTCATGGCTGGCCCTCCAAGCAATCTGTTCCTTCAGCAGAGAGATTAGGGACGTGCTTTGTCAAGGGGCAGCAGAGGGCACTCCAGGCCAGAACAGGTTAAGTTGTGGTCACTTTATCTCTTGTTGTTGACGCAAAGTCCCGAGGCCATGGCCCAGGGTTTTCCTGCAGAAATGTGTTTACAAGCAGGTCAAGGACTTGTAGACAGATAACCATTAGCAAAACAACTTTTCTATTGACAAGGAAGCAAAGAAAGGTGTGTTTGCAGATGAATTATCACTTGCTTCTTAAAGAAAAAAAAAAAAAAAAAAAGCTCTATCAAATCACTAAATCCCGGCTTTCTTATCCCCAAGACTGGAATTTCTGAGGAGTGTAGGGTGAGCTGCTTCCTGCTTTTCTCCAATTACATTCACATCTTATCAACTGCAGATTAATCCTTAACGACACTCTTTAGCCTTTGCTAATATCTACAAATTATCCATTTGGGTCTTATTAAGATGAAGAAATGATTTTATGCCAAAGTTGGAAAAAAACTGGATAAATGTTAAAATAACAAGAAAGTATTTAAATCTCTTGCACAAATTTGGGGAGTGCCTTATTGCTGGGGAAAGTGAGTTCTCAAAAAACTGCTGTAAATTTCTGGTTTGAACCTCTGTGTCATGACCTTTTGGCTGAAGAAATTTGGGGTGAAATCCTACATTCCTGAGGACTGAAGACAGAAGTAGGAAATAGTCCAAATTTATTGAGGCAAGGGGGGAAATCAAAACAAAACAAATCAACAAACAAATGAAATAAGTAAAAGATTTAAAATAACATAATCAGAAACAAGAGAAATAAAAAGCTTAACTAATGAACATGTTTTAAAGCTTTGAAAATGGTAGCCCATTTTATCTTAGAGTGTGATGTAACTCTTGCATAGAAGCCGAGGGGGAAAAAAAAAGCTTCTCATGGCATGTCTAGTCTTATGCTAAAGAAGGGCGATCACATTTTCACTAAAAGAGAAAAATCTGAACTTGGGAATCTGCACATGGGTAAATATGAGCTGTCTCATTAGAAAGATACTTCTCAATTAGTTTTCTTTTCATCTCTCTTTCTTTTGGCTCTCTGCCTTCTTACGTGCACCCACGCAGACACACACAGTCCTGCACTTGGAAGGGTCAGAAAGGTTTCTGCCGATTTCTCTCCATAGAAGTCCTGACAATGTGGCATGTGCAGTCTCGACAATGACATGCCACTCAAAATCCCTCCCTTCAAATTGTCCCTCCCTTTAAAGGAGACAGCTAACGTGAATGAAACACTTTTTCCCTCTGGGGACGTCTGACTTGCTTTTATTAACCCAGATACAAAGTGCCACTCAGAGGCCTCGGACAGTAGAATTCTTTATTCTCTTAACTAGCAATTCATTTGACCCTCAAGAATAGTATTAAAGCTCCACAGTTTTCTATATTTCTTATTTATTTTATGTTCCCACTACTCCATGAAGTGTTCTTATAAAAATATTGCCATGTACCATAAAGTCTTCATATTAGAAGGACGTTTTAAATGGTTTCGTCTTAACATGCTGCTGTCACTCAAATTGGAAAACTTTATGCTAGTTCTTTTCCAAGCTGTTAAAGATTAGCTTGATGTAGATAAGGTATTCCCCAAACTCATTATCTGTCTTCCAAATGCACCTTAAGGACTCCTTAATAAAGTCAAGGTTACGTGAAGAGTATTTTACTGAAAATCAGTGAATGACTATTAATAAATCTGCATTACAGACAAGTTATTTTGTCTCTGTCTCTCATCCTCACAATGGATGATTCTTTTTTTTATTAGTTTTTTAAACAATAAAGCTATTTCGTAATCTTACATCACCAATGAATCAGTGATCATATTGGTTGGAAGGGGCTAGAAAATATTTCTGCCAGTTTATAATTAAATGTAGAGCATGCATTCTGCTCTATACATTACACAAAGACTTCTGACCTCTACAACACCCCCAAATTAAGACTCATCCACACCCCACCTTCTGTTAATGCTACCATGCTAAACACACACACATGCACACACACACACGCACACACAGCTTTCCTAAATTAGAACATGAACAGCTTCCATCTGACCATTTTCATTCTGTTAAAAAAAATTCTAGTCCCTCTAATTCATGTGGCAAGTGTTTCTTCCACATACAGGTCTAAAGGCACATACAGGTCTAAAGGCACAATGCAGTTAAAAACTTAGTAATTCCATTATCATCCCCACCCCTAAGTAACTGGAACTCCACCCCTCATGGTATTTTCTAGTGTTTATTCTTCCACTAAATTTGCACCTACATTACCACACACAGCAAATATCATGTGCTGCTTATATAAGAATCATCTTTTTAATTTTGGAATCATGATGTCTAACTCTTTGACCTTCTCCTCCTTTTTTCAATAAACTCAAGATTTCAGTGTTATTTGGAATGTGGCTTTATTAATTTATAATAAGACAATAACTAGGCCAATTCATAATATAAGATTTACTCATAGTGGAATTTTTACTAATTTCCTTTTATCACATACAACAAATTGTGAATAAATCTTTCAACGTTTGCTGACTAATAAAGAAATGTTTTCATCAATTGCTCCTTTCAGACAAACCTGAGCCCTAATCACATCTTTTTGTTAAAAAAAAAAAAAAAATTGAGCTGAGGAGCTTCTCAGGAGTGATTTTCACACCTTTATGATGCAAGTCAGATTAAAATACAGTGTATATAAATCAGCTGTATTTATTGATAATATCAGCTGAAGCCAAAATCACAAACTGCAGTCGTATAATAGCAGTAATAGTGATGTCAGGAGGCCAATGAGATAATGGAACATTTAGAATCTGTGCAATCTTGGCTCCTGGGAATTATATGAGGCACATAATAATGTTGCTAAGATTGTAGGTCCCCGTTCTCACATATGAGTAAATGGACTGTTTGTTCCCCAAGCCACACATTCTCAAGAGAGAGACTAACCTGCTGTCTAGTGCCTTCCTGGTTGCCTGGGCTCCACACCCAAATTTAGAGCCAACAGTCATTAGCAGCTTTTCTAATGGAAGAAGACAAATCTGGCTCCATGTTACATGGGAAGGAGATAAACTAAAGATTAAGTTCTCGCCGTTTCTTCCATTCCATTCCCTCCAAAACACTGTGGGATGTTTTGATTCTACTGTTCTCCCGAAGGAGGACAGTCTAGCCCTTAGCCTACCATCCAGCATCATAGAGTGGAGGGGTAGATACCAAGGAAGCTCAAGGCCAAGGCCAGATTAGCAATCAACGGTGTCACCAACAGCTGTCCATTGCAGTGTCTGCAACAGGGGATCCCCAAAGGTAACCATCCAGCATCATAGAGTGGAGGGGTAGATACCAAGGAAGCTCAAGGCCAAGGCCAGATTGGCAATCAACGGTGTCACCAACAGCTGTCCATTGCAGTGTCTGCAACAGGGGATCCCCAAAGGTATGGCTCAGTGCAGGTGCTCCAGATGATCACCAACAAAATCTCAATGACTGTAAGACAATCAGTTCTGATTGAGAAATTAATAACTCCCAGGAAAAAAATAAGTTTAAGGAACAGAGGTTGCAGATGAACCTATAACTAAAAGCCCTTAAAATATTTGTATATCTGGTAGAAGAGAATCATAAAAGCAGCTCATAAAATAAAAGAAAATATCAAGACATTTTATACATTTTAAATTAGTAATAGTAGGTACCGCATATTCTTTACTTGCTATACATTTTAGTATCTTTCTCTGAGTTCTGTGTCACTGAGGGTGTTGGATATTTGTTTTATTTTTTAGTACCAAAATGTACTTTTAAAACATTAAGCATTCTATGTATGCTCAATGTCATTCTGATTTTATGACTCAGAATTATTGGTTTCCAGCTTAAGAATTCTACTGTTGGTCCTGAGACAAATCCTCAAGTGTGAACTTTTCTTCCAGGGTTCAAATCTGGCTCCTTAATCCATTTTGAACCATCTAATGAAAGGTAAGAAACTATAGTGGTCAAGGTAATACACTTGAGAATGAAACCTGAATTAAAAACCTAGATGCACTACAAAATTACAGCTGGATAGAAAGAATAAGTTCTAGTGTTCTATAAGACCCTAGGGTGACTACCGTTAGCAATTATTTATTGTATATTTTCAAATAGCTAGAAGACAAAACATTGAGTGTTCCCAACACAAAGAAATGATAAATGTTTGAGGTGATGGATATGCTAATGACCCTGATTTTATCATTACACACTGTGTACATGTATTGATATATCACACTGTACCCCACAGATATGTATAATTATTATGTGTCAATTAAACGTAAATTTTTAAGTAGTAAAAAAAAATCCATCATTTGCTGGCCATTTTTATGTTCCGTAAAATGAACAATGAAGGTAGCAGTTAGAATAAAGAAAAAGATGACATTTTGTGTATCTTATATAACTATTTAACCATGTATGAGGGTACCTCGGAAAGTTCATGGAAAAATTGGTATTATCTATCAATTCTATTTTTCCACAAACTTTTTGAAATACCACTGTATGACTCAGTTTTCTGATCTGTAAAATTGGACAATATTACTAAATTCAAAAGTCTGTTAGAAGAATAAAATAAAATAGAATAAGATAAGATAAAATGTACGTATGTAACAAATACCTTTCCTATGTCATCTATCATAACCAACAACTAATGATTCACCTTGCCCATATTCACCAACATATGCATATGCAAACATACATATATTTAGCATATATATGTGAGTAGATATAGATATACACACATACTATTATATATATATAAATACACACTATATAACAGTTGTGTGTATATCTATATCTGTATCTATGTCTACATTTATATCTGTGTATATACATGTACTTAAATATACAGCTACATGTGTGTGTTATATGCAGTTAGAACTAAATTCTTAGTGTTTCCTAAAAATATTCCTAAGTAAGTAAAGCCCCACTTACTAGATCTTACACAGGTTAGCTGGGGACTACTAGGTTTCGTACCTCCCAGGTGACCCAGTGTCTGAAACCATGATTTACTCTATCAACTGCGTAAGGCATAAACAGCAGAAGGCACAGCTCACAGTAATGTCCATAATAAGCTATTTGGTGTCTCTCTATGTAATTCAGATCATTTTCTCTCTGTAATTCTCTCTATATTTTTTGCTTAGTATAGATTATATACATTTTTATACATTATTGCTTTGTATGTATTGGTAAGCATTAGGTACATACCAATTCAGAATTGTTTCTACCTGATGAATTGTTATTTCTTTTTTTCATGACCCTTTTTATCTCTGATAATGATTTTGCTTTAAAGTCTTTTTAATCTGATATTGACTAAAACAGCCTTCTCTTGGTATTTGCCTGCCACACACACACACATACACACGCAGACACACACACACACACACACATATTCATCCTTCTTTTTACTTCTCTGTGATCTTTTGGTAGGGGCTACCTCCTATAAAAATAATCAAGATCAATTTTGATTTTGAAATCCAATTTGGCTGTGTCTGTATTTTAATTTGAAAGTCTAGTTCATTCATATTTATCACACTTACACATTTGGTTATATTCAACCATATATTCTTCTTCTTCCTTGTTTTCTCTGACATCGCACTTTCTTGATGATCCTCTAACTTCTTTAGTCGTGCTTCCTAAGTATACTTTTTTCCTTGTAAATACATTTAATTAGATAAAATTGGCATTCAATTAAGTGCATAGTATTTAAGTGCTCAGTTCAATGAGTTCTTTCAATTGTATACACCCCACTAACCACCACCCCAAAAAAGATAAAGAACACTGTTATCACCCCAGGAGGTTCTCTTGTGCCATATTCCGCTCAGTGCCCAAACTCCATAGGTAACAGCTGCTCAGATTCCTATCACCAGAATTTAATATTGTTCCTTCTAGAACTTCATAGAAAGGGCATTATACTTTTTTCTTGGGTCTGGATTCTTCCACATGACACACTGATTTTGAGTTTTATCCATGTCGTTGTGTGTTTCTGCACTTCATTCCTTT